CCCTGAGTCCCCTCAGGGAAAAGGGCGGCCTATAAATGTTAATAAACCTTAAACCTTAAACCTTCTTTGAACCATGATCAGGATCCACCATGCATTTGCTCTTGTTTTCCACACCAGTTTTCAGCAGCCCCAAGGAGCTCCTAATTTGTCTTGTGTCCCTTCCAATGATTCTTTCTTTGCAGACGTACGATATCCAGGGGAACCTCCAGAATGATAGCCAGGTTACCGTTTCTGTGATCTTTGAGAATAAGAGCAGCAGTTTCCTAAAGAGCATGGAGCTGAACGTTTTGGACTCTCTGAATACTAAAATGCTGCGGCCGGAAGGATCCTCCATCCATGATGGGATACCTGTCCCTTTTCAGCTGCCTCCTGGTATGACTGTCCTGCTCCCTGGTGAGAGGGGGTGGGAAAGAGCTTTTCAAAGAAGCCTTTGTAAAGAATCTTGGAGGACAGGACATATCTTCCTACAAATATGTATCATAGTTCCATCTGAGCCAAACCTTGGAAGTTTATCATAAATTTCTGGAGCAACATAGCCTCGTCCTGTTTGTGTTTCAGTTAATGGGACTAATTTTCAAAAGGGTGGATTCAGAATTGAACAGATTCTTGCTGTTGCTGGTCCACTGTCAGCCCAAATAATCTCCAAAAGATGTTGGATGTCTGATCATGACATGCTATCCTTTTAGGGGGAATTCCTGAGGACCAAAGTATGAGCCCATTGGTGCATCCTGGGAACAGTGGTTTTAATTGGTTCCCATTATGCAGAGTATTTTCTAAAGGTGAATGGTTTTCCAAGTTAAAGTGGATAATGACAAATGCATTTGCCCTAGAGTGGTACAGGTAGTCCTCGACTAACGACCACAATGGAGCCCAACATTCCTGTTGTTAATCGAGACATTTGTTAAGTGAGTTTTGCCCCATTTTATGATCTTTCTTGCCACAATTGTTAAATGAATCACCACAGTTGTTAAGTCAGCAACACAGTTGTTAAGTGAATCTGGCTTCCCCGTTGATTTTGCTTGTCAGAAAGTCACAATAGGGAGCTCACGTGATCCTGGGACAATGCAACCGTCATAAAAGTGAACCAGTTGCCAAGCATCTGAATTTTAATCATGTGACCATGGGGATGCTGCAACAGTCATAAGTGTGAAAAATGNAAACAGGAAAATACATTTCTCTACAATCTTGATTGAGTTGGAACCTCCCTGAATATTCTAGGCTGGATTTAGAGATTGGGCAGAGATGGGAACTTGATCATGCTTACTCGGAAATAATGTTATCTACAAGCAGCTAAAAAAAAGTTGCTAATATTACATTTCACCTGAATTTGGAGAGGGGCAGTTGAATTTCCAAATGATTCTTATCAATATCTAGTGTATGCATCCATCTCTATGGTACTGTTGTCTTTTGAAGGTCAAGATAGAATACACATGATGAGCACAATTGCCAGTACGACTAAGCTACTTCCAGATGTCCTTCCTTTCTCTTTCAACTTCTTATGCTTTACTAAATTGCTCTGTATAAGCTATTCAGGGAATTTGATTATGAATAAAGCTGGTTGAGTATTGCAAAATTTCTGCCAGTTCTTTGTTTGTATGTGTAATTAAACACATTTCCAGACTTTTCTCATATGCAGACTTTCAGCAAACAATCCAGCCTCTAAGTTTTAAAGGGTTAGATATTTGCAGAAGATAATTTCAAAGTGTCATGCATATTTGCACAAAAACTCATTTGAGATTTGCATATATTCATATTCATCATAGAACTGTCTGCAGAGTTTTCCAACTGGGAAACTGGGACAATGTAATGTGAAGTCCAACCATCTATAACTGAATGATATTTTTTGGGTGGAGTGGGGAGGTACCTTCAAGTCCTTTTTGACTTCTGGCATCTGCCTGTACTGATTCCTGCTATTTCCTTGACAATATATTGCAGAAGTAGCTTGCTAGTGCCTGCTTCCTAGGGGTATAAGCCTAGTTGGTGTTGTACAAAAGTGACATGCGTGAGCAAAGTCTGAACCAGTAATGAAGATAAGAGTAAACCATTACTGATTTGAACATACATTCAATTTTAACATAACAGTATATGAGGACTGTACAAATTTTAAAAAAGTCCTATTGTCAAAAGATTTAGGGGAAGTTATTGAAGTAGTCATATTCTTTGAACAGGTATGGATTCTTAATGTTTAAAAGAATGGAAGCAAACATATTGTCTAATGGTTTACCTGGATCTATCCCTTACTATCAAGCTTTTACTTGGGAATCTAATATGAGGAGAAAAAACAGAAAGTATCTGCAGATTCAATGCACAGAATTATTTTATTTATTTGTATCTTACCTTTATTATTTTTACAAATAACTCAAGACAGTGAACATATTCAACACACTTCCTCCTCCTATTGTCTTTACAACAACCTTATGCAGTGAATTAAGCTAAGAGATTAAGAGAGTGACTGGCCCCAGATCACCCATCTAGCTTTCAAGGTTGGACTCATGGCCTTCCACTTTCTGGCCTGGTACCTTAACCATAAAGCTACCAGACCATAGGCCAAATTAGCCCTGAAATTGTGCACTCAAAAAAAGAAATCACTCAGATGTATTTACATTAATTATTTTGTGTACTTAGATTCTTATATTATAAAAGAGAGGAAATATTTCTTTCTGTTTTTGAATATATAAGATTTTTTTTTTAAAAAAATCAATACTTTTATAAAATGTTAACATGTCAAATTTTTCAGAAAGTTGCTAACTATCAAAAGGTTAAACTGTCACTGTTGAGTCTAATGAAAGCATCCAAGCATCTTCTCTTTAGCCATCTTTAGCATCTTCTCTTTAGCCATATGCTATTAGCACCACAATCCATGGGTGCTTCAATGACTTCAGCAAGGGTGATGAATTCAAGCCCTGAAGGCTTCCTGTATCTCCAACCCCACTTTTTTCCTATTCTTTAAAAAGTTCACCATCAAATTTGAGCAGAAAAATATGACTTCCAGTGAGGTATTTTTTGTGATTCTTCTGTAAATTTATGTCTATTTAGACATCTAACTTATACTGAAGGAGAAACCCAGAATCTCCCAAACTGTATGCAAAATGCAACCCTCCCTCCTCAGTTACCATCACTGGATCAGCATCTGAAAAAGAAACAGCAGTTGCCTTCATATCAATAGGGAGACTACATGTTATAGATGGTGACAAAAAGACACATTTCTAGAGACACTACAGTATGTACAGTAAGTCTATATAAGAAGCAAAAATCAAGAACCCAATTAGAAGAAATGCATCCCTATATTTAACAGAATAACAGTGTTAGAAGGGACCTTTGAGGTCTTCTGGTCCAATGTCGAACCCCCTGCTCAAGCAGGAAACCATATAAGATTTCAGATAAATGGTTGTACAATTTCTTATTAAACCAAATAAACAAAAAAAAAATGCAAAAGGAAGAAGGTTTCCCATAATCCTTGGAGGTGATTCAAAATTACTTAGGTAGAAGGCATCTCTCATATCAAGAAAGGTGCTCCTGAATACTGGAGGATACCATAGAAGCTAACCAACAGGGCCCGAAGGGCTATTAGAAGCAGGAAATACTTCTTTCAAATAATTGAACATTTTCCAGAACAATGGAGAACAACTTTGGCAAAATAGATGCCAGGTTCCAATTAAAAATGAGTTCAGTTATTTTAGCAGTGATCTCATTGTTAGGATTGCCCTGATTTGCTGAAGACAGTGGTACCTCAGTACTTGTTGTTAATTGGTTCTGGGAGGAACAATGAGTACCAAAAATGATGAGTACTAAACAATTTTTTCCCCTAAGGAATAGTTCAGTGAGTCATAAGGCAACCAACATTGACATGTTCTAGCTTGTATGTTGAGTACCAAACAATGAGTATTGGGACAACATTTTCATGGCAAAATATGTTGAGGACCAAGGTACCACTGTATAACTGATATTCACCCAATTGTCTTCCTTTCTATTTTTTTGCACTATAGCATTTTATGTAAACCAAAAAAGTACTTTCCCCCTATATAGCTCACATGGTGCCATTCTTAGCAGCCACTTCAGGATGCTGGAAAACAAAGGATGATTGGCATACTTATTTTATATTACATCCCTCCTTTATGTGAAGGGAATTATAGAGGCTCAGATCTGGTTTTGTATTTTTTGTATTTACTATTTTCTTGACAAAGAAATGCCATGCTTTGCCATGAGAACTGAGGTTAATGAATTTAATTTTCAACCATGATATGGAGAGAGTTATACCCTTAATTAATTTACTTTCTGGGAATACTAATTTACAGACAATACAAATCTCATCTTATTAAATTTTCTATATCGATGACATCTGTATCCACTAGTGTATTAAGAGCATATACATGATTGTATTTTATCTATATCTCTTAAATGAAAGGTATTTAATTCTGTTACAGAGTTTTGTATTTATGAGAAAAATGGAACTTTAAAAGCTTCAGGGGAAAAAATCTATCAAGCATTTTGAAACACAGCAGACACTTAAGGCAATTTGTGTCTATAAGCTGTATGGGACACTTAAGACAATTGTTAAATTATTAATAATAAAACTATTCCCTGAGAAATTTTTGCAAATAAGTAATTTATAAAATTTCTCAATATTCAAAATTGGAATGGGGAATAATGAATCATTTCATTTAGTGAACTGGTAACAATTAGCAAAGACATTATAGCTGAAAATATTTAAAATAAAGATTCAAAGACTCTGTGCTGAAAAGCTAATCTGGAACATCAAGAACCTGGCTTCAAATCTGAATATTTACTTAATTCTTAGTGAGTAAACTGATTGGTTCAATTCCCCACAGGAACTGAAATAAGAATTATTAACATAAATCCATGTTTTCTCCCCACATTGTTCTAGTAAAGCATAGCTGCATACAGGGGTCTGTAAAGCACTATGAAGCAGTATATAAGTCTAAGTGCTATTGCTATTTCTTGAAAGATTATCTCTTTCTATTATAAATCATGTGTGATGTGGAGCTTCTCCTTTTGATTTTGACAACATTGAGGCAAGATCAGGGATTGCAAAGATGAGAGCCAAGCATGCAGGGTCATGATAGAAGGACTAGCATTTGTACACCTGATCCTATAGTTAGGGAATGGAACTATTCCCATAGATCTTATGCATTAGGCAAATACTTGAACATCCCTGCCTTTGAACAGATCCCTGCCTTTGAATCCCTGACTGCTGCTTTTCAGCTATGCTACTGAAGTTTGCTGTTACTTCTCTTCATGTTTTGTTAGCAAAATAATGCTTAGAATCATCCAATGCACATTAGAGCCCTACATGGAATAAGACATGCCAGATGTTCAAACTGGCTTTAGAAACAGGCAAGGGACACCAGACATTATTGCTGATGCATGCTGAATAATTGAGAAAGTCAAGGAATACTAAAAAAAAAAGAAGAAGAAGCCATGATGCGCTTCATCATTTATAAGAATGCCTTCAATTGTGTTGATCATGGCAAACTGTAGAGAGTGCACAGAAAAATGAGAATGCCCGAACATCTCATTGTCCTCATGAAAAATTATATACAGGTCACAAAGTCAGAGTACAGACAGAACTGGGCAAACCAGACTGGTTCCAGATTGGCAAGGGGGGAGGAGGACAACGTCTGTATACTCTGCCCTTTATTTATTCAACCTCTAAATGGAATATATATTAAGGGAAGCTGAATGGGAAGAAGATGAGCATAGTTTA